AGCAGGAATTATTTCATGATTTTAGTGAAAGCTTTGGTTAGACTTTTAGAGATTACAAATAGAAGTGCCATGATTCGCTTCAGTGTAAATGACTGAGATGGGTAATGAGGCAACCTCATCATCTGAGACTTGATGGCTTGGAGATAATAATAAAAAGGAAGATGGCTGTAAGTGCTGGTGATGCCTGCTACTTCTCTGAACGTCAGCTTGGTCCCGTCACTGTGATCTCACTGTAGGTGTCCAGGTTTCACCATTGTCAACGTGGGGCAAACACCTCTCATGACATATCAGCCTAAGGGTTACTTTAATCAGGTCCACTTGGTTACTCTTTGAGTATTACTGAGTGGTTGGTTATTATTTTTAACTAGTAATCTTCGTGTTTGTACTCTCAGCTTTTGTCACATGCTTTTTATCAAGCTCAAGCAATATGTTTAATGTCACAATCAAGCCCCTGAAGGAATGCCCTTTGTGTTTGGAGGGAGCAGCTCTCTGTTCAAATCAAGAGTAGGATATGGTATGAGCCAAAATAACTGCAGTTTCAAGGAGTAAAGCAAATAAACATGAAAGAAACCCTACCCAGATCTGAAAACTTTGTGTTTAACTGATTCTCTGTACGAAGCAGTAAATTAGCTCACTCTCTGTTAGTGTCCACATCTTGGTATTCACTATGTTGGTGCAGAATGTGGCTCTGAAGCTCCCTGCGATCCCAAGTGACATAGTAATATACAAGTGCTCCATTCTAGCCAAGTCCTTGATATGGTATATTTAATCATAAATATTTAGTGTGGTTGAGAACTACAGCCTTGTAATATTCAGCACATTTGTGTGTGTGGCTTTTGCAGGCAGCATCATTGACGGTGGATTCCTGCTCTGAGGATCAGGAGCCAGGCTACTGCACTGTGAGCAATGTGGCTGTTTCTACTGACTGGTAAATAATTCTTCATTTTGTGTGTAGGGGGAGTTGCTGTAAAATAAAAAGTAAAATGAAAAATTCTCTAAATTCTCATTCTCTAAAGCCAGAGGAATAGGAATTTGGAATAATGATTAAGTGCCCTTAGCCCAGCCTCAAGCAAGGGATAGATACCTCAGCTGCACTCCTTCAGAAGCATGCAAAGGCAAGGCTCCGAAGTGTCCTTTTCTCCCATCTTTGCAGAAGTGAATTAAATTTCCTGCATGTACTGCTACTTGCTAACTCAGGCTACATTTCTGCATGGAGTTTATTCATGACAGGGATTTTACTCAAAAATTCTCATGTTTTGACTCTCTCTATGTCCCCAGGCTTTGGAGCCACAGAAGAAATGTACAGCCATGGGTAGTCTGCGCTCTGGCATAAAAGGGGATAAGACTTACTGCCCAATAGTATGACATTTCATATCATAATCTAGACAACATTAACAAATCAGTATATCAGATACAGTAGTACACAAATGTATTTGTTATAATCAACTGGCTCTTAAATATACAGCACTACTCTTTGCCAGTTTGAAGTTCTACAATATTTAGTGCTACAAATCTTTAGCAAAGACTCCTCCACTTTCACATTTTGAGTAGCATCTATCTTGCCAAAACAAGGCTCAGACTCAGAAAACTACAATTGAGTAAAAAAACCTTATTTATTATGATTTCAAGCATGCTGCTCAGTCAAGTGAGTAGAAATTTGACATGCAATAACTGAGTGTGAATTTAGAGTCATACCCATTAAAACTTAGTTCAAACACTGCTGATCTCTCTGTTTCCCTTTCTAAATGTAAAATATGAATTTTGGAAGAGGAATTTTAGCCACAGACCACAGCTGATAGTTACAGTTCCTGTGTTGTCATTGCTATCTTAATGTCTGATACTGATAAATTATTTTTCTGACTCTTTTATAGGACTCTCGATGTACAACCAAATCGAGTTACTGTTGGTGGCATCAGGTCTGTAGAGCCCATCCTTCAAAGGAGAGGACAGGTGGAAAGCCATGATTTTGTGGGCTGTATAATGGAGTTTGCAGTCAACGGACGTCCCCTGGAGCCCAGCCAGGCTTTGGCAGCTCAAGGAATCTTAGATCAGTACGTCTGCTATATATGATATCGAATGGACCACGTTGACAATAAAAGAAGCCGTCATGAAAGTCAGATGCTATTCTGTTCAGACACCATCAGATATTTCTTGTGAAAAAAAATGACTGTAGAATTTATTGTGAAGTGTAAAAAATGTAGGAAGAAACTGAATTTGGATAAAAGGTTCACAAAAGGTTACAGAGGCTTCAAAAAAGCAACATCGCTACACTTCTATTGCGAATTATTAATGTTGCTTTGCAGGCTGAAATAGAGTAGCCCTGTTATTGGGTTTCTTTATAAATTCCACCTGGGTTTGGCTGTACTCACACTGTTTGCTAACCCTCTACTACCTCTTGTTTCTTTTTAATCCACAATGTCTGTTCTATTACTTTACCTCTCAAGTATCACTGAATTTCCCTCATATCCTCTGTATGGTCTTTCAGAAATGATGGACTATCTGATTCTATCATTTTTTCCAGCTCAGTATTTGAAGTCACAGTTGTAGCAATAATGTCAGTCTCGCATCCAAATTTGCTAGCTCACTTTTCCTCTTTCAACCCCAAGTTTGCGCTGTTCATTATGATGTGAAATCTCTGGAGATCTGCAGCATAAAAAGAACCTAAAAGATTTTCTTCATCTCTTGTGTAATAGATAATAGGAATTTCACTGTCTTTGAATTCCTTTCTCTTTTGTAAGGCTGTTATAACTTGACCCTGAAAATTGGGATCTATTTAGAAACATGAGCTGTCTATGGAGAAGAGCCTCTCTATTTTTGCATTTCTGGGGGGAAGAAAGGGGAGTATCGTTTAAACACGTGATGCTTCCCAGCACGTTTGCTCTGCCTATTTGTGCACATGTTCTTCAGCATTGACTTTTCTGATTTGTTTCAGGTGTCCCAGACTGGAAGGTGCTTGCATGACCAGCCCCTGCCAACATGGTGGCACCTGTGTTGATCACTGGTCGTGGCAGCAGTGTCACTGCAAAGATGGACTGACAGGAAAGCATTGTGAAAAATGTATGGAGGGAGCTCTACTGTCTTTCTCTTTAATGTACACCTAGCTGTGGTTTAACCAAATGCCATGAAGAGTTTCTTTTCAGGAGTGTGGGATAATGAATTTTATAAAATAATGAAAACAAGCAGCATGCTTGCCTCTTAAATAATTTTGAAGGAAAAATCCAGAATGGACTGTTGTCCTTCATGAGCTAAAAATAGCAACAAGTTACATATATGTATGTTTTCTGGTGTGTATATCACGTCAGATAACTTGCACTAATTTAAAACTACTGCTTCCCAATAATGTATAATCGGTAACTAAAACAAAGCTCTCCCAAAGGAGGGATTTATCTGCTGTGAGGAGGTAAGAGGGTAAGGGAAAACCTTTCCCTTCTCATAAACATTGTGTGCATGTGCTTATGGCTTCTCCGAACTGTAGGCCTTTTTATCAAATGGCCGTCAGATTATATGCAAGAAAATATGGTAAATGTAAATAAAAGCAAGCCCTTTACACTCTGGGATTATTAACTCGCACATGCATAGCTCTGTAAATCAATATGGGATTGTCTAGGAGAGCAAAGTGATTTATTTCCATGTAGTTGTAGTATAATGACTGGGCTTTGTTTTCTTACATGTCCCATTATTGTTTAGCTGATTTATATGCTTTTATTGCGCCGGTTTACAAAAGAATTTAGCCATAATTTTAACAGCATTTGGTAGTCAATGTTCTGCCATTTTTTATTCTTTTTTTTTATGCCATAACAAATAGAAAGTCATTATCTCTGCCCTGAAGAGCTTGGAGTTCAATATATCATGAAACCCTGCTTGCAGTAATGGAAACAGTAACATCCCTGGGAAGGAATTACACTTCTGAGCGCCAAATTTTTTTCCTTACTCCCTCACTTGTTCCCTAGCGAGTTTTAATTTACTATTGACTGATAGCAGCTGTAAATTACTAGCACACTCCCACTCTCAAACACACATTCTGGTTGAAGCCAAAGAATAGAAGGGCTGAAATTGCCATTCACTCCTGCTCTACCCCCTGACCTGCTCTGAACTTGATCTCTGCTCTGAAAGAAAATGGTCGTTATTAGGCAGATGATCACTATAGCTGTAACAAGCTGCATGCTCAGTACTTCCCTGTCCTTGTCCCAGATATTACTGCCGACACTGCCTTATCGCTAGAAGGCAAAGGACGACTTGACTACCACATGAGCCCAAACAAGAAGCGAGAATACATGATGAGACACAGCACTCGAGGCGCTGGCCTGGGACCCCCGAACGTGGACCACTTGGAAGTAAAGTTCAGGACAAGAAGTGAGAACGGTGTTTTAGTTCATGTCCAGGAAGGCAGCAACTTCACTACCGTGAAGGTAAGATTACAGCTAATGCTGAATTTGATTTGACTGGACTGCCTCATGCGTAGTGATCAAAATCACATTTTTCCATTACTCTTGCTGTTTCCTTTATAAAATATTAGGTCTTTAACTGAGGCTAGGCACTGCTCCAGTATCATTCATCTTCTCAACAATTCCCTTGCTATTTACCAAGGTATCAGAAGATCTTGATGGTTTTGTATCTAACCAGTTTTGTCTAGACTCCAAGTAGTGACTGTTTTAAGGCAGCAAGAGCGGTACTCATTGCCATATATGTTATCATCACTAAGTTACACTCTACAGAAAAAATCGTTTTGTTATTGGCCTTTTATCTTCTGATTTTTCAGAACCCAGACCCTCCTTAAGCTAGCAAACAATTGCCAAAAGTTTTCATTAATTCCTACTAGCATGGCTCATGCTTATCAAACTAGGAAGTAAGGGATGATTTGATTTCATGAAGTTACCCATAGATCAATGTCACTATCAAATTATTTCGAGATACTTAGCTGAATTAATGCTTCAAATGCCACACAGTTTTGCTTTGTTTTATTTTTTTTTTTCAAAGAGTTTATTGCTGTAGAAGTTACCTTTCTCAAGAGAAAGCAATGGTTCAGTTCCTGGCTATGACTCAGTCCATTTACTCATAACTCTAAATGAGTACAGCAGTGATGTTGGCAAGCCTCTTTATTGGGTTGGTGTAAGCTCCAAGTTTCCTTGACTGCTGCGAGGCTTTCCAAGTTTTTTCCCTGACTTTTAAAGAAACTCATAGAGAAATTCACACTTTCTAAGCTTCAGCCCCATGAATATTCTCCACCTGCCTGATCAGAGGTACAGAGCTTTCTTGACACACCGGCTGCATTTAAGAAGCAAGTCTGCATTACTTCCCTGGCGTACACTTTTACCACATCATTTGATAGGAAGTTTGTGCCTCAGTCATATTAGCAGATAAGATCTCATTATTTTGAGTTCTGGAGAGAAAAAACCAAATACTACCTTTTTCTCCCTAGTAGAATTTGCTAGGTCAGCTCTACAAGCATTATAAAAAAAAGAAAAAGAGAGCTGCCTTTCCTGGCTGAAAGCACTAGTGGTGTGTTTATGCAAACACTCTTATTATTGTTAATATTGGTGAAGTTATACAAGCGAGCAGAGGGTGTCAAGTCCCAGACCCAGCTGTGCAAGGGCAAAGAGTGGAGATTTGCCTAGTAACAGATGTAGCAGTTTGAGGAAGGAGAGGTAACATCTCTGTACTGATTATTGCTGAAAAGTTCCCAGATGATGCTAGTTAACAAAACTGTAGAAATTTAACTGTAGTTAGTACAGGGTGGCTTCTGCACCGCTGCTCATACCCGGAGTAGGTATCATGACAAGCACTTCCTGCAGTGGTGGCCCAGGATGTTAGTGAAGCCAACCCACATGTAGGTCTCCCTGGCATCTCAGTCCACTCCCAGTGCAGATGATGAGCTTTAGGGACTTCTGTTTACAACCCTCTTGTCAGTCTTCAAAACAGAAAATTTTATAACTTGATTTTTGGGTCTTTTAATATGCTTCTTATCTAAAGTGCGAGCATTCAGAGAAAACCTGCCATGTGTTTTTTAATATTAAACTGTGCTAGGGAAAAGCTACAAGTCCCGTGACTACTTCCATGCCTCCACATTTTTCCTCTTGTAGTTAACTGGTTTTTGTGTAGCTGGGATTGGGGTAAAATTAGAGAAATGGTAATAAATCAGACCCACTGAGATTGCAAGCAGCTGATTCACTAAATGATGGATATTTTAGCTGAAAATCTCACCTGAAATCGAGTTAAATTAGCAGAACTGTAGCTCTAAAATCTATGAATTGTACAGGTAGAGAATGCGGATTGCATGTTACCTATGTGAGCTAACGTATGCATGTGTTAGGGTGGTAAGACACTGGAACAGGTTCCGAGAAGTTGTGGACGCTCCATCATTGGCAGCGTTCAAAGTCAGGTTGAACAGGGCTTTTGAGCAACCTCATCTAGTGAAAGATGTCCCTGCCCATGGCGGCGGGGTGGACTAGAAATCTGCAAAGGTCCCTTCCAACTCAAACCATTCTGTGAGTCTACGCACACATCGAGTTGCAGGAATAAACCAGATATAACTCTGTTTAAATGATATCTCATCCAGTGGGCTATAAATCTGCGAAAGTTAGTGCTCAGATTTAAGACAAATAAGAAGCAAGTTGTTCAGTGAAGGAGACTCAGAATATCAGTAAAGTTGAATCATCCTTGTAGTTAGGAATATGTTTGCTTTAGTGGTTCGTTCTTTTCATTATATTCTAGTTGTCAGTTGCTCCGCCATTTGAATAAAACCCAGAAATGGGTGTTACTCAATTTTGTCAGCATCAGTATTTGTTTCAAATTTAGAAATAAGTTGTGCTTCAAGGAGCCGAGAACACTTCTTTTTTCCTGGTTGAAGAAGTCATGGACTGTTCTTGTCTCTGCAAATTTTATTTTCCAAATGCCACTAGTATATAATTTATGAGTCTGTTGGCATTAGTCACATGCAATTTTAAAGAAACAGAAATAGAGCTGAAGAGTCGTAAATCAGTATGGAAAATATCAGTTGCTGACAGGTAAATAATTCTACAGTTCTTCTTTAATGTGGAATTAGAAGTTATGATTCTGTGCTTAGTATTCCAATAAGCTTAGGGGATATTGACTGATATGGTACATTCCTTTTTGCTTTACATAAAGACCAAAATACAAGCTAGTATTTTCATGGAGCATAAAAGTCAAAATAAGACGAACAAATCAATTACAGGTTACAGACATAAATATATGTGTGTATAAATATATATATGTATATAAATATCTATTTTTTTACCCAGTAAATCTTTTTATAAAAACCTTTGATTGTGGCAAATAGTGTTTACTATTTTATAATAGTCTGTGTGACTGCATTTCTAAATGTGGGATTTTCTTTGGACTGTGTGATAGTTTAGACGTATGCCACCTATTTTTGCCAGTAACAAAAGCATCCTATCTCTGAGGGGCAGCTTATCAAAGGGTCCCTCAAACAATACATTTTCAAATAGTCCAAATTATTGCACTTATAAATGAAGTGCATGCACATATTAACCATTGTATTTCTTGATCCAAATGGAATATGTGCTAAATACATTTAGTTCAGGCTGCTGCCAAGACATGAGTGTGGTCTCACAACCATGTTAAAGCTGATCTGTATGAACAAAGTCCTCAGCTTGCATCACTGAAGAAGTAAATTCAGAGCATTTAACAGTCTCTGGAAACGAGAGCAGCATTCTTGTAGCTGGTGTGTCACCTCACAGTTCTTCCCAGGTGAACGTTATTTTTCCTGGAACAAAGCATGCGAGGCTTAGAGAGCTTTCAACACACCTGGGGCTTCCACCTTTCCTGGACTATGTGTGTGCATATTCTGCACGCTCGTCTTACAGATCATGGACCCACCAAGCTGCAGCAAGGAACACGGCGGGGGAAATAGTTGTCTTATGTAACATGTATGACCAAATGTGCAGAGTTCCAGAGTATGGAAGGAAACTTGCAACAACTTGCAGAGCCACCCTATACAAGCTGTACACATCTGTACACCCTTAGGAGGTCAGCTGATGTACCTGACTCCTGTGCAATATTTGAGAAGCTGGCAGGTTTGGATGTTGGGGTTTTTTTTTTTAAACTTCTATATCTTAAATGCAGAATTTGCACTGATCTCATTTTGGGATCATTTAATACAGAGCTAATAAGAGGTTTGAAATCCTGCATCTCATGATTCAGTAGAATTGCGAGCTGTCATTCCTAGAGGAAAAGCCAAAAAAATTTTCATGGAATTTAATAGTACCTTTTTTTTATAACAGCTCACAAGTTTAAAAGCAGTTTGCTCGAGTAAGCACAACTTGAAAATTCACACAAAATAATAACACTTTGCAAATCTTCAGAAAGGTTTCTAAAATACAACTATTTTTCTGCAAAATGCAAATTAGCAGCAAAACCAGATATGAAATGGGAATCTTGTTCAAGTGCTGCCATGTCCTTATATCAC